ATTCAAGAACACTTTGCTTGAAGCCGATTGTTTTGGCTCTTTGGTTCGATTATACGTCAGTTATTGACAGCTGATGTAAAAATTACGAGTTTCAGCTCCTTTTATGCGTTTGTTTGTACGACCATGGTAACATTGTGGTATTGATGAACATTTCTCAAGTGAATAGTGTTTTCAATTGTTCTCTCGGTGTTTTTCAGTTTTGTTTCTATCGCTCTATGAAATTAAAAGAAAGAAGTGCATGAAAGTGATTTCACGGTGACTTCAAGAAAAAATGACCGTCCTATCGGTTGGTCATACTCGGATTGGTGAAACTCATCGCTAAGCCATGATGATGATAACGTATGACCGAAGCTTAAAATCATTCCAACATCAACGCCATCGTTATCACTGACGGCAGCTTCAAGAACCAACGGCCGTGCCAGAGGATTGGTCATACCATGAGCAAGGACACGAACCCAGGTATAATTTATATTGCCTTGGTTTGCGTCTCACCTCGTTTGACAGATCTGATCGCCCGTTTGAAAGTTCCAATCGTTCGTTTGACAATTCGAATTGTGGACAAACGAAATGCTCCTCGTCGGTTCGTCGGTGGTTAAACTTCAACATTATATGGATTTGATTGTAAAGCTGTTTAAAACGTTCGTGTTAATTGCTGTTGTTGTTGTTTTAATAGCATATTTTTACCCTTTGTCTGTACCTCTTAAGTAAAGCTAATTTCATTGCGAAAATCATTCAAATCGGGTATTAACTAAAATTCGGAACATGTCTCTACTAAGATGCAGACATATCAAGAAGACTTTAGCATGCAAAAATATCAGAGAAAAAATCATTTTGATGAATAATCTAGATTGCACCAATTTCCTGGGGTATTGAGGTAAATACATATTCGTAATCTGCATTAAAATTAAAATTAATTTTGGTACACTGGAACTATTTTAAATAAGAACGATTACATTAGCAAAAATCACTTTATTAGCGCCCCTCGGTGTCACTTTGTATGGGAGCGAGCTGTCAGTTTGTCAGTTTAGTGTCAAACAGTGTAGTTATTATTTTGCTTTAAATCTTGATTTAAAAATCGAGATGAAAGTGTGTGGGTTCGAAAAAAATATTGCTTACTCAGAAAACGAAGCTCTTTCAGATAATATATAAAAATCAATTTTTTTTTAATTAAAGAACTCAATTAGCCAAATAAGTAAACACCCTGTAGATAGAGAAAGACGATTAAACGTCAAAAAGCTCTAACACCTTCGAAAAAACAGAGAAAAATCAAACGTAACTATTCAAATCGACGTATCTGCTTTTGTAAACATGCACTTCAATTGACAATTTGTGGTAACTGCTAGCTCACTCACAGTAACTAACAACACCAGCTAGTATGGGGAAAGATTCCCCTACCTGATGATGGTGTTTGTTTGTGTGGGAGAGTTTTTTTTTTATTATGGTCACTTTAACACTCTTAGGTCATTCGTGACTTGTCCGGGGTGAGATTTGAACTCGTGACTTTGGCTTGAGAAGTATGGATGTGAACCACTACGCCGGGGTCGCCCCTGGGTGAGTTAACAGTTAAGACAAATCGTCGATTGAAGTGATTGTTTACAAAAGCAGACACGTCGATTGAAGTGATTGTTTACAAAAGCAGACACGTCGATTTGAATAGTTACACTTGAAATAGGCATCGATTGGACTATCAGATCCTACACACTGCAAGGAAAATTATTAGTCTTAAAATAAAATCATGCTAAAACAAACAAGAAAAAGTGACTTGACCTTAATAGAGGAGAATTTTAAGTGACTGGCTTGAAAAAAGTGACCAAGTCACCAAAAAGTGACTCGCTACGAGCCCTGCAAGGGAAGTCAAGAAAATGCCCAAACTGACAGATTTTTCTAGATCGTTTCGAAGGTTTTGCATCTTACAACAAATTTGATTTAACAAAGACTAAAATATGGTCAAGATGCGAATGCTTAATTTTGAATTGCTACATTTTAAGAAAACTGAGTTTGTTTATCCGTTATGTGATCGACAGGGTACCCGGGTACCTTTTCAGATTTCATGTTAAGAAATTATACAGTTATTTCACGACAGGAAACCAGAATTCAGTGACATCTTAGAACTCATGGAGAGACAACTTTTCATGGAAAAATATTTCATATGCAGCACTGGACTTTGAAATGGGGGTCCTGAAATTTTTTACCCTTTAGGAGCTCGACAAGGGTACCCGGGTACCTACCCACAAAATTGAAATGCTTGCTACTGCGGTCAATTTTGAATCTTTTGGCTCCATCGTATTCAGAAACTTATCCTCTTTCTGAACATTGCCAACAATGTCCATCCAGAATCGTCTGGTTCCCGGAAATCCGGATTTCCTGTATAACGTTTTAGAACTAAGCATTCCCGTAGTACCTCTAGTGGCCATAGAAGTTTTTGGGAAGGAACCCCTACAATATGGATATCAAAATTCATGAATTTTCAACAAAAGACCGTTTATCATAATTTTGTAGCCATTTGATGGATTGTCTCCGGAACGGCCATTCTGGAGCAGGTTTCCGTAGAGCCTATTGACAATAGAAGTATTTGGGAAGAAACCCCTACAATATGGGTATTAAAATTCATCATTCTATCGGATGATCAAAAAATTAATTAATTAATTAATTTATCTTTATTAGGAAGGCTTTTAGTCTGGGGCTGGTTCGCCTCCAACTCAAATCAAAAAATTATGATAAACAGTCTTCTGCTGTAAAGTCATGAATTTTGATGCTCATATTATAGAGGATTCTTCACATACACTTCTATGGTCACTAGAGCCCCTACGGGAACCTGCGCCGGAATGGCCGTTCCGGGGACAATCCATCGGATGACCACAAAATTATGATAAACAGTCTTCTGCTGTAAATTCATAATTTTTGATACCCTTATTGTAGGGGATTCTTCACAAACACTTCTATGGTCACTAGAGGCCCTACGGAAACCTGCTCCGGAATGACTGTTCCGGGGATAAACCTTAAAATGTTCCTCAAGTGAGCTGAAATTGTGTCTTGAAGGAGATTCTGATACTTTGATATCGATTCCTTCGAAATTCTAGCGAAAGTAGCAAGAAAAATCTTCTACAGGAAATCTACAGGAAACAATTCCGGATGAACATTGTTAGCAATGTTCAGAAAGAGGATAAGTTTTTGAATCCAATGGTGCTAAAAGATTCATAATCGGTCAGTAGCAAGTAGGGTCAGGTGGGGCAAGAGTGCCATATGGGGCAAAAGTGCCACCTGCTTGTATCGAAGCCTGAAATACATTTTTGATATTTCTTATTAATGGGATGCTATAAAAAGCCCTTCAGATATACTGCATCAAATTTGGTTATACATTATGATGTAAATATTATCAAAAAATCTAAAAAACTTACACGTTGTCGAAAACTTCAAAATGTTATAAGAAATCGATGACATAAAATAAGCTTTTTCTCATCATTTTTCTAAGAAAATTTAATAATACGATGTAGATTTTATTGTACGGTAATACATTTTGCGACATTCAATATATAAATACTTATTCTTGCATGTAGATCCTCAAAAAACGTATTTGAAATTCGTCTTCTCCACGGGGGCAAGAGCGCCATACTTGCCTGGGGCAAAAGAGCCATAGTAAACAAGACATATAACCTCAAAAAGTTGTCGCCTCAGAGTGAAGTTTCGAAGTGATGGTGCGTGTCTACAAGCGAAAATCGTTGCGTAAATCGTGGTCGGAACAGAATATGGTTGCGGCCATACGATCCGTGACTAAATATGGGATTTCTGTGCGAAGAGCAGCAGTGGAACACGGTGTCCCTCGCAAAACGCTATCGAAATATGTGCTGCTGGCGTTGGAACCTGGATCGCAACATTTGGGGCGCTTCGAGCAAGTTTTTTCTGTGCAACAGGAACAGGAACTAGTTGAGCATGTTATCAAACTGGAAAGTCGGCTGTACGGAATAAGCTGCCACGATATGCGCAGTCTTGCTTTTCAGCTTGCCGAAAGGAATGGAATAAGTCATCCATTCACAGGGAAACTGGGCTTGCCGGAACCGATTAAATCTTTCACCTTGTTGACTAATTAAAAAGTAGTTTAAGAAGAATATGAACCGTTTGATTGCGAAATTTTGATGATTTTCTTGTTATTGAGTTATATGGCCGTCTTGCCCCATGGGGGTGGCACTTTTGCCCCACACTGTTTTTTAGCTTTTGTTGATAAGGCATATGAAAACAATTAAGAAAAAATATTTAACGTTTACATATTCAGTTTCAGATACAACAGGTTTAAGTAGAGGATGTTTAAGATTCTATGTACATCATTTGTTTAAAAAAAAAGTTAGATTAACCTATGTTTATTGAAAGATTTTCTTAACGTGGCACACTTGCCCCACCTGACCCTATTTAAATTTGTGGGTACCCGGGTACCCTTGTCGAGCTCCTAAAGGTGTTCTTTTTGTCGATCACATAACGGTTAAAAAAAAGTCAAAAATAGGCATTAATGCAAGATGATTTTCATGGAGAATTTGTCAAATTCCCGATGTCCCTGGCAAACATAAAATGCCGACCCTTTCCCGGTTTTCCTGATAGAGTTGCCACCAGAAGCGCCCATTAATTATATAACGAGAAATTTCAAAAAATACACCCCTCTTTCCATGGTTTATTACATAGTTCAGAACCCTGTCTCCCTTAGAACGTGACAGCTAATAGATGGATCCCTTGAAGGGAAAATTATTATAAGATAACTTAAAAACAAGCGATTTTTGTGGTTTTGTTGTCTTTCCTGTCTAAAAAGAAAAAAAAAACTGATGGGAAGTAAAATATATAACAACAAAAAGGTTGATAGAAATTACATCGTCGAAAACAAAAAAAAAAAGCATGGCGCATTGCGCTTTTTAAGTCACCCAGCTACGTAGATCCATGATGATATATGATAGTTTTTCTACAAACCATGTACCAACCCCCGAGAGAAAATTTCACCAAGGATTACGATCACCTACCTTGAATCATCAAATGCTGCTGGGTTTGCTGCTCGCGAGCACGTTGCTGCTGCAGCTGCTTCCACTGCCGCTCCTGCTCCGCTTCTCGCATACTCTTCTGCTGAGAGTTAATCTTATCTTGATCCTGTGTTTTACATTCAAAGAACAGCAGCATATCGGGGAAGAGAACAGAGAAAAGTGTGCTTTAAAACGTTCTACTGCTCGGAGGAACTAATCGCATGTCTCGGATATATTGCCAATAATACGTGAACAAAAATATGTAAATACATAGTAATGCTTCTTAATAAGTATTCTTAATTAGGAAAGTAAATACATAATCTACCGTTAATGGAAGCACAGATTTGATTTTAAATTTCAATGCTATCATCATCGAACAATTGTTAATTTTAAAGAAATTTTCATTAGTAGGCAATAGTTCAAGTCCATTAGAAGAAACCGCACCATGAATCGCATCGCACTGTCTTGGTTCTGCTTCTGAGACGGTTTGTTAACAACAACAAAAACGGTACTGCACGAAAAATGAAGGAAACAGTGATACACGGTGGTATGCGAATTACGGAGACAAGGGTTTAAATCTACTTTGGGTTTGGAAAAAGATTTTGATTGTGCAAAAGTATCTTCAACGTCTGTTGACAAATCTACTACTAGTTGGGAAGTAAGATGCAAATTATCTACAAACGGTTAACGTTGCTAGAATAACAAACGGGTGGATTTGTTAAATGATGGAAACAAAGTTTGCTCTTTTAACTTTTGCAATCAATGTATGGCAACGTGGGGCTTACGAACTTCTTTGAGAGAGTATTCAAACTAGTCTACTCTGTATAGAAACATGGGATACTCTGTGTCGGGCGGTGAAATGAAAATTTCTTTAAAATTAATGATCTCGAACTCAACGAACTGCGGCCGATAACAACAAATGAGAAAGTCAAAGCGAAATAGCTTCGACCTGAACAATTACTATCGGGAAAAGGCACTAATATCTCTTGAGTGAAGGGGAAAATGATACAACCGAACAGGATGATGAAAAACAAAAAAGAGATGAAATGGAATCATGCGAATAATGAGAAAACGAAAAAACATGGGAAACTACTACGATCGTGCATAATGGGCTCTACTGAGGGAAAGCAAACGTTCATGCAAAATTAAATGAATGTAACTAGCCTACAACTGGATATCAAGATGTGAAAACGTTAAGCCTTAACTGGTCCTGGTCAAAAAAAAAATCATAAGCCAAAAATGACATGCAAATCAGTAAAGAGCAAACAATTTCAAGCTGAGCGTCGTCAAATTTTGTAAATTTATCGTAATTAAATTTACGCAGAATTTAGAAACAAAAGGTATCTTTTATCATAATAGGATCACAATTCGATTAACAGGGGTCCAAGATGTATCGAAAGGCCGAAATTAGCTTTGCTAAGGAAGAAATCAAACAAACTAACAGTTCCAACTTATGAAAAACGCACTAGGCATCAGAAAAGTGCTCAATTGACAAAGAAGGAATGTACAAAACATGGAGCCAACTAAACAACTCTCCATTGTTCTCAAACGGTACATCGATCAAAAGGAGCAAATCGAGCAGGTAAAAAAGTACGCAAAACACAATCAATAAAAACTAATATTTAGAACAAACCAAAAACCGTCAAACAAAACCCAAAAATTCGCAAGTAGAAGAAAACCAATAACAGATCAAATCGTTTACGTTTGCTAGCTTTCATGGTTCTCACCGTTTCTGGTGCGGTAGTAGAAGTGGTAGTAACAACAGTAGTAGTAGTAGTAGTAGTGGTAGTGGTAGTAACACTAGTGGTAGCAGTAGAAGAAGAACAACTAGTTGTGTTGGTGGTGGTGGTGTTGGAGGTTGCACTCGTACTAGCACTTAGCAAACATGTGGTGTCGGAGATGGTGGTGGTAATGGCGGTCATTGGATTAGAGGAACAACCAAGTTCGCCACTGTAGGGGGCGCCAGTCGGATTCGTGGCCAATAGGGAGTTACTTGTATCGCTGTAATCAGCCACAGTAGAATTGCCATTATTGCTACTAGAGTCCTGCAACGGGTGACTACTGTTGACGATACTTTCGAAGCTTTCGCTACCACCAGATTCATTGATATTGCAATTGTTCGAATCGCTACTCATACTATTGTTGTTATTGTTGTTGTTTGTGTGAGTAACGCTGGTCATGTTCGTGTTGTTTTGGTTCTGTGTGTTTGCTATGATTGTGTGTGTTTGTGAGTGCGACTTGCCAAAGGAGTCGTTGAAGGTGTGACTCTCGTACGAGGCCGAATCTAGAGATGGCAGGGTTCGCATGATTTCCGACGGAGTCAGTACGCGAATTTGTTGGTCATTGCTGACCATATTAGCTTGCAAATGAGGCGTTACCGACCGGGACGAGCAGGGAGTTTGCGAACGTTGAGGACTGTAACCTGGACTGGGCGTACCCGGCGGTTGCTGGCGTTCCATGGGCATCATAACCTGTTGTTGGGTCTGCAAGTGAACCGGTGTTGTTGCCAGCAGAATTTTCTGCGAACCATCGGGACCCACGTTTATAAATTTGTTAACCCCAGTTCTCACATGAGGATGCTGCACACCAGGATGTTGAACCTGCTGCTGTTGTTGGGCAGCGATTTTATTAATCGTTTGCAGCGAAGCGGCCAAAATGGGGGATTGAATAGCGGAACTGTTTCCAATTATGTTGAAATTAATATTGGAACTCTGAGGCAAGAACGGTCGGATGTGGGTGAAACCAGGCCTTATAACGGCACTTGAGTTGGTATTGAAATTTCCATTTGGATTCACCGTCACATTGGGAGCTGGACCATTGCGCAAGCCATACTGATGATGATGCACCGTAAAATGGGGCGAAATGTTGGTCGCTATCACATTGGGAACGAAAATGTTCCCTCGATTTGTACCGATAGTAAATGTCTTCATAACATGCGTGGCAACAGATTGACTTACCACTACGTTTACATTCGATTGTGGAATGGAATGCTGCTGCGCCGGTGGATGCTGGACCTGACCCATCTCGGTGTCATTCCGTGCGCTTCCCAACGAGCTCGAGTTGATATTCGAAAGGTTTATGAAAGTGTTTGCTACGTTGGCCGCTACCAACAGATTTGATTTGTTTGCTGCACAACTGCTCGGGGTGGGCGTTTGCTTCTCCACGGCAGACGAGAGTACATTCGACGTCGCATTGTCGCTTAGCGTGTTGTTGGATAGTAGTGGATTAGTATTGAGAGTACTGGTGCTAGTAGTAGTGGGTGTGCTTGTAGTGGCATTCTTGCTACCGTCACCAATAACAGAGTCTAGGGATGCATTGGTATTAGTATCGTTAGAAGAAGAGGGTGTGGTGTTACTATCGAGAAGGGCACTAATAGCGTTAGAGTTAGATGCTGTTGTTAGCTCGTCTAAACTATCGGTTCCATCGTCCAAAGAATTTCCTTGCACCTCGATTAGCTGCTGCTGATGGTGCTGAAGTGGTTTTAGGACTTGCTGTTGCTGCTGCAGTTGCATCTGGGCTTGAAGCTGCAGGTGTTGATGTTGATGCTGTTGTTGTTGCTGCTGCTGCTGCTGCTGCGGATTCGTGGTCATCAATTGCGAAGGATCGGTAGTACCGACCAGGAGTGCGGCGGAGTCAGCAGCCACACCACCCTGCTGTACGACGACGGATGATGGTGGTTGTGATGATGAAGATGAGGAAGGTGATGGAACTACATTCACTTGACCTGAACTATTACTATTGCCGTCTTTAGGTGACATTTGTGGTACCTGAATCGTTTGAAGGGGTGGGAAGTGTGGCAATATATGAACCATAACCGCATAATTTATTTGAGAGGATGTTTTATTGGTAATAATGGGTAAAACTACAATCTTCCTACGAACGTATTGTGTGTGGATGTTGGTATCATGATATGTATGATGCAAAATATTACGCGGTATATTGAATGCAATGTAGTTGTCCTTAATTTATATAACATGACAGGAGGAAGGGATGGACCTGGGAGGGAGACACAGATAGCACACATGAAATTCACTATTTCATAGTTGGTCCTTCTTGTCAAACATTTTTTGCATTTGAATTTAAATATGTTGTGATTCTTTGGCGTTGTAACAGTGTGCAGTGAGGAAAATGTACCTTGTCTGATTTGCATTTTATTATGCCACCAAAATGTTGACAGAAATCTTGATTAATGGTATCTTTCAATATGCATCTAAGTATACATATGATGGCGAAACATATTTATTATTGTGCAACTATAAAAAAGCATCTTTTTCTAGTCTTGATCTCCCTCCCAGGGATGGACCAATTTCACTGTCCAAACGGAACCAATTGACCCATTATAGCTATGAAATTTCACAGAGCACGCAAACACACATACACACATACAATATTTCCTGTCATCCGCTAAGTTGACATATCATCCTTGGAGACTTTGTGTAGCCTATAATAAGCAATGAGCTCAATGGAAATGTAGAAGTCCACAAATAGCCGCTACGTAGGTTATACATGCACTACCACTTCGAATTTTCAATTACACAAATCTCAGAAGTTAGAGCCTCAATTCATCTGAAATTGCTACTTTATGTATGCTGCAGTGCAGCGAACGCGGAGTAACAGTTTCATTATGGTACATGTCTTGGAAGCTGATATTTGTGCTCTTGAAGTTTCGAAGTGATTAGTAGAACAAGAATCACACAGCGAAACACCTTAAGGTGGGTCTCTTCTGTTTCCAAATGCTCTTTCGATCTGTATTGAGGTGTCCAACAACAAACTGTGCTAAATTTGATATGATTTCAATTTGCAGCAGATCTTCAAAGTCTGTATGGGGATCTATATCATATGCGTAGTTAGAGGGGGGATGGGATGGGGGTCACTCATATCAATAGAAGTAAAGTTTCAAACTGAAATAACGTCGGAGTTTCTTATCTTATCGATTTGGTATGTTAAGATGAATTATTCAAAAACAATTTTTCAATTTCATAGCCACTTCAAGAGATGAGGGGGGGGGGGGACTCATATAAATGGAGGTAAGGCTTTAAACTGCAATAACTTCAGTGTTTCTGATCTTGTCAAGTTGGTATGTTCAGATGTATTCAAAAACATGTGCTCCATTTAATAGGCGTAATTAGGAGGGGGCTTACTGTATGCTTTCCGGCGCTCACTTATATCAATGAAAGTAAAGATAAAGACTAAAATAACTTCGGAGTTTCACATCTCTCGAGTTGGTCGGATGGGTTATTCAAAAACAACATTGAAATCTCATAAGAGCAGTTGTAAAGCGAGTACTACCATTCTCTTTCCTACTCTTTTGGTGCCATATACAATGTCAGATATTTTCACACAAATGCAGGGCTGTTACAATATTTTCTAAATTTGATCCGCGAAATCCGCGACTTCAAATACTAATCCGCGACAAAAAGATATGTTTTCATTACCTGAAAATACCATTTGTATACTACTACATGGCATTTCAAGCCTATTGCATATAGCATATTAGATTTTGCCTTTTCTGAACTTAGTGTTCTTTGAAGTACCTTCACATTGATTTGAGAGCTTTCTATGCCTGTACCATTCTATGCCCAAGGAAGTAGAGAAATTTGTCAACCCGAAAAATTAATAGACCGAACGGGAATCGAACTCAGTCGCCTTCAGCATGGCCTCGCTTTGTAGCTGCGCCTTTACCGACTGAGCTAAAGGAGTATCGTTTGTATCCTTTGGAAAAAAATTCAGTTGTTTATGAATGTTTTTTTTTTTTTAATTATTATGGTCACTTTAACACTCTTGAGTCATTCGTGACTTGTCCGGGGGTGAGATTTGAACTCGTGACTTTGGCGTGAGAGGTATGGATGTTAACCTCTACGCCGGGGTCGCCCCCTAGTTTATGAATGTTTCTATTGAATAATACAGGCCTAGATTTGATGAAGCATTATTTAAAAAAATGCATTTTCTTTTGAAATGCAAATTTTTTTGAAAGTTAACCTTTGCGTCCTCTGACGTATTTTGCTGTCCTAAATGTTGTAATCAATTTGGCACTAGTTTTCTCAATTTTTGACCGATTCAAACCAAACACCCTGCACATAATCGAGAAATTAGCAGAGTTTCATAAGTCACACTTGTTGGTCACGTCGCCGTTCTGTATTTACACAGATATTCCTTGGGGTCTGTCCAATGGTGAGACATTGTATTTTCGTTGGCAAATCATAACCGAATCATATATATGTGACTTTGTGGATCATGCACGACTTATTACTATGTGTACACGCAGAGAAATGATTCTTAAATTCAAATGGATATATTTTTGGCTCAGGGCCTAATATATTTTTGGCATAGATTCAAATATATTATTCGGTTAATTCAAAGAAAAATATTTTTGAATCAACAAACCGGTTGTAGAGTTAATAATCTGTTTGTTGATTCTACAAACTATTTTGTTGATTCAAAAATATGTATTGTTGAAATAGTGATACAATATGTTTGAATTAAGAACAAAATACATTAGGCCCTGAAACAAAAATCCATTTTTCTGCGTGTACTGGAAATTATAGGTTTTACAAATTTGATTTTTTCTACTAGATCAACCAAAACTGCAATAATGTCTGTAGAATCGAAAAATGTCCAATCAGTTTCAAAGTGTCTATGTGGATCATGCATGATCTATTTCCGAGTAATCCACATGTAAATTCTTCAAATCGTCCTGGAGTACAGATAATTTGATCTACTAGATCAACCGAGATTGGGACAATGTCTTTAATATCGAAATATTTCCAGACAGATGCACAGTGTCTATGTGAATCATGCATAAACTATTGCCATGTAACCAGATGTTTTAAGTTCTCCAAATCGTTCTGGAGTTCAGATGATTTATTCTACTAGATCAACCATGACTGGGATACATGTAGTATCGAATTATGTCCAAACAGATTCGTAGTGGCTGTATGGATAATGTTTAATTATTTCCACGTATACCAGATGATCTATGATCTGTAATATCGAAATATCGTTATGGAAATCCTTAGGAAATATTTGGCATACACGAATATAGGTTCGCATGATCCACATAGACACTGCAAATTTATTTGGACATATTTCGATACTACAGATATTGAATTAGGCTTGGGTGATTTAGTAGAAACATAATCTGATCTCCAGAATGATTTCAGAACCTATAACATCTTGTATACGTAGCAATAGGTGGGGCACAATCCACATAGACACTTTGAATCTGTTTGGACATATTTCGATACTGCAGACATTATTGCAGTCTTGGTTGATATAGTTGAACAAATCAACTGAACGACGATTTGGAGAACCTATAATATCCGGTATACATGGTAATTACCCGCATATATACGATTCGTTTATGATTTGACATCGAAAAATGCTGTTTTCATATTGGAAATAAATAAAAACATGAAAATGTCTCTCATTGGACAGACCTCACGGAATTTCCGTGTAAATCCGGTTTGACTTATGGAATTGAGATCATTTCTCGATTATTTGCAGGGTTTTTGGTTTGAACCGGTAAAAAATTGAGAGCCAAATGAAGATCAAAATTGATGACAGCAAAATAATCCGGGACGGAAAGGTTACAATGAATTCCACAATTTTTGTGACAGCACATCAGTCCCTTCGCGATTTTCGCGACATCATTTAATGTTTCCGCGATTTTCGCGACTGAAAGTTCAAATCCGCGACAAATCCGCGAAAATCACGAAATCCGCGAAATTCGCGAAATCCGCGCCTGTTGTAACAGCCCTGCAAATGTCATTAGATTGTAATGATTAAATTTCATTTTAAAATATTTTACGATTTCTCAGGGTACTCTTTTTGATGCTCTTCTATCCTTAGAAGCAAATATTGCTGTTGAACTAGGTCTCGGGTGGATTTCTTGATAAGTCAGATATTAGCTCCACCCCTCATTCAGCAATATCGTTGACAACCATCAAGGAAGCAAGTCGTTGTATCGCATTGAAATAATCTGTATCATTACTCCACTCAACGGCGCCGCCGGGATGTTCTGAGGCATAACATCTCTGATCGCGCCTTCCTTCGGATGGGAAGTAAAGCCGTTGGTCCCGGTTCATGAGTTGATGGGTCGATAGGTAGGGTCCAGGTGTGAGAGCTGCCTTCCTGGCACGTCTGTAGCATTGGTGCTCAGCACGGAAAACAAGATCGACGCAAAAAACAACCCAAAGAAAAAAAAAAAAAAAAAATTACTCCACTCGTTTGCCGGTTTTTGCATGAAGCCGATCGAAATTTCGTAAAGGAATCAACACTGTTAGAAGCAGGGTGGCCAGACCTACCGATTTATCGGTAGTGCTACCGATTTTCGGGATGCCTACCGATTCACAGACAAAAGGTTAAAAACTACCGATTTTCGCCGATAATCCCAGATTTTTAGTAATCTTGAAAAATGTTCAATACCTATATGTGTTGTTTTCCTTGTAGTCAGAATTAGCATTAGAATAATAAGAAATATTGATTTTGACACGTTTAAAGCAGAAGAACTGAAGGACAGTCCCTTCCACTCACAAAGGTTTCAAGTATCGGGAAAGCCTTCTTCAGACGGCCTACCGATAACTACCGATAAAAGTTTTGAGAAGCTACCGATAATGGAAAAAAAAATAATCTGGCCACCCTGGTTAGAAGTGACGTAGGAGCCCAACTTAAACTTAGCCCACTTAAAGTTAGCACAACAAGCGAAATTCGACTGTACCTGTGTCTGAGACGAAACTGGTGAAGACAGTTTTCGTTTTCTCTTGACGCC